GTTGTCCAGGCCAGGACTGACCCCCCTGCAGCTTCTGTTTGACCTTCAGTGACCCTGTAATGGCAATGCTGATGATAGAATGATAGTGTCCTGTTTCCTTCCCTCTCCTTCCATCGCTTGTCCGTCCCTTACCCCCAATCTCCGATCAGAAGATTACAGTCGAAACCAATCGCGTGTCCCCCAGCCCACCCCACAGCTGAGCACCCCAGTGCATTGTGGGCGGTAAATTAAAAGGGCCCCTTCTGCCAGAAGTTAATTCGCTGAAAATTGTCTCCAGCCTTCCGATTTTACATTCGGAATGAGTAGGCGCCTCGACCTTTACTGCGATTTTAGGGAGCCACGTTGACCTTCGTTTTACGCCCTTCCAGTCCCCCACAATGCACCGTGCCTCCTGTCTGGGTGGATGGCCCGCGAGTTTGGACTGTCTTTACCGGGTCCCCCCCCGGTGCGGCTTCGTGGGTGCCTGAGCTCAGTTTGATCCTGTAACCCCCCCAGAATGGTCCAACCAAGTCTTCCTCCACCCCGTCAGTACGTCCTGCATGGGAACCTAACACATCCAATCAGACATGGGCACGCTTCCTCCCGCAGGCAAACAACACTACACAGCACACACTACTAAAATAGAGTTCCGGAATCCCGGAGGTAAGTTACCGACGTGTGTGTGACGTCACGAGGGGGGGGACCAACATCAATAATGGCGAAATGGAGGCACCAGACAAGTATTTGTGTTACATTACAGACAACCCGGCACACACCACGCGGCCCCCAAATGTCATGTGACCTCACCAGACATCACTGAGGGTTCCCGGTCAGGGCAAAGCTGCAAAGGGTGAAATATCTATGGAGTAAATGATTAGGTTCCGGGTGGAGTACGCCTTTAAATTTAAACTCTTTGTAAACCCTAAATCTTGTCTTTTCTCGGTATGTTTGGTATCATCTCTCCCTGTATACAGATTTTATAAGCAAATCATTTTCTGTAAATCTGTTACAATGTTTCCTCCCTGGAGATCCCGCCAGTAATAGCACTTCCTGTTCTAGGCTGACAACGCCAAGGCGGTGAACGGCAGTGTTGTCAGCCTTCTGTGCTCCTTGAGTTGGCCATGAGAGCCAGCGTCTTAGCGTTGTCAGCCTGTTAAATCTGACCTCCGTCCTCCCCTTCAGTCTCATATCTGACCTCCGTCCTTCACTTCAGTCTTCTATCTGACCTCCTTCCTCCCCTTCAGTCTCTATCTGACCTCCGTCCTTCCCTTCAGTCTTCTATCTGACCTCCGTCCTTCCCTTAAGTCCAGGGAAGGCAAAGTAAAAGATTAAACTTCAGCTGTAAGGAAACTGTATACAGTGAGACATGATACAAACTATACAGAGAAATACATTTAGGTGTCACATAAACTTTATTATTTGATCCCCAAAAAAAAAGAGAAACATCAGTCTCTGTACAGAGGAGCTTACACTCTAAAGCCCCCCCCCC